CCATCTCTGAGTTCATGAGCACTCATATATCCAACATTCTATGGCTCCCTAGTTCTTCTACCTCTCTGGATACCCCTTGGTCTTCTCTTCTTCCTCCCATTCCTAAAATATGGCTCCCCCCAGATGTGACCCTTGGCCCTCTCCAGAAAAGGTCACAGCTCATGGCCCAGTAGTTCAATCTTACCAAGAATGTACACTTCTCTTAATATATATTAGACCCAACTTTGAAGTTTGGTGGTGGTAATAGGCAAGACTGGGCTTGGCTGGCCTTCCCATAGGAATGGAAGGAAAAGCCACTGGCCCCCTAGGATGGGTCTCCAGCTCTCTGAACCCATCCAGCTCCCCCCACCCACAGGAGTCTGCACATCTGCTTAGGTCAGCTGACTGTGGGAACAGCACGTGTGCCCACAGACTGTTCCCTCAGCCGTGTTGCAGCGTGTTGTTCTACTATCTCATCCACATCTCTCAATCTATGTCTTTCCTGGGTGGCAGTGGCCTTTCAAACTGCTCCCAGTCCCGGGCCCCCTCACAGGTCCCTGCTGGGCTCTGTTCTCATGCCAGGCCTGCCAGGCACTTAGTAGGTGCTCTGACTACCTGGCTGATTGCTGCCATGTGTGGGAGAGGGGCTTGGGTATTAGTGGTTCGCCCGGGGCTTCTAAGCGGTGTGCGCAGTAGTACCAGTGGGAATACAGTCCCGAGTCATTGATTGCGTTATTGATGCTTGTGACTCAGGTCCCTGATACAGTGGAGATGGATGAGTATCCATCTTCTCCTAAAAGATGTTACACATGCTATATAACATCTCAGTGCCCACTGTGAACTGCTTGTTTGCTTGGGGAGTGTTCTCTTCCCTCTGAAGATGGGGCAATAGGTGCCAAGAATACATGTATTTGCTCTAGGGTCAGAATATCTCAGGTCCAAATCCCACCTCTGCCTGTTACCAGCTGTGTGACCATGGGTGAGTCACTCAACCTCTGCTCATGTATAAAATGTGACAAACCAGATGTGTCCCGGGGTCTTTGTGCAGGGGCAGTCTCTCCATCATGGGTCCTGTCCTTTGGTGTGGTCTGACATGCCCCCTGCCATAGCAAGGATTCGTCGTGGCACATTTTCAAACGACTTTGCTCCCACCGTAGCAGGAGGTACTCAGAGGTGCACCAGCCAGGAGTAAACCCATCCTCTCCTGCTGCTCTTCTTCTCCCGGGAAAAAGTGGGCAATGCACGTATTCAGAGCCTGATTCTTAGCTGCCAGGAGGTGGACTCCACATGCCCCAAATCACATTCTGTTGGGGGATTAAACTCAGATGAAGCTTCTGTTTGTCCCTCCCAGGGACTTACACCGACCGCTAAGAATTCTTTCTATGTCAAAGCAAAGAGGACCTGTAAGGTCAGATTCAGGACTTCTCTTCTGGTTAGTGTCCCCCTTGTGGGTATCCAACTCAACTCCAAAAGTCCCATCTGTTAAGTGACATTTTCTGCTTTAGCTCATCTTCACTGGTTAAGGAGATGCCACAATATTAATCCATTTCAAGGGGTTTAAACAAACAGCCATAAATATTTAAGTCTCTGCTTTGCCTATTAAGGAGAATGCCAGCTAGGATAATTATTTTTGCCTCTGCCTGACAGAAAGATTTACACAGAGGACAGGATTATATTAACCTCTGAGCAAATTCAGAAACTTTGAACCTAGATGGGCTTCCTCTTCACAGCAATTATTCCCATGGTCAAATATGCCATATTCCTGGATCTGTATGGGGAAATGCCAACAAAAGGTGAAACCACTTGAACTGAGATCATTGTTTCAGGTAAAACAATGTGAATTACTGATTGAGCTCCCAAAGTGGTGCAGCTTATTTTACAATGAAAGTCAACCAGAATCTAACAGGGATTTTGGTTTCTGTTTGCATGTCATGTCTTCCACACTGTAAACTATGTCAAGGGCAGGGCCCTGTTGTAGATGCTGTCCCAGTGGCACCCTGTTTGGCACACTAAGTGTGCGGCACATTCTCTGAATATGTGAGTCACTTAGGATCTGAGCAGGGGTTCTGTGCAGTGGGCAGTCCACGGGTCTGCAGGTGGCCTGAGCCTGGCAGTGAAGCCTGGTCCTGGCACTTCTCAGCAACATGGCCTTAGACCATTACCTAACTGCTGTGGGCACCTCTTCTGAATCATGCTGTGGGGACTATTTGAGGGAGGGTTGTAGTAGAAGACTGCAAGAGGCCCACAATGCAATGTGGCAAATGGGTCAAGTGAATAATAACCATGGCAGGACCAACGTGCCTGGTGCCAGATGATCCTCCAAACTACATACAGTAACTTCATGAAGGAGACATTATTATCCCCACTTTATAGGGGAAGAAACTGAGGCAAAGGATGTTTCAGTAACCCACCCAGGGGGTAGAAGCACAAATATGATGACTACAGTTCTAGAAAGTGCCCAGATGAGAAAGCCAATCTCAAAAGGTTATATACTGTATGACTTTGTCATATGCTATTCTTGAAATGACAAAGTTATAGGATGGAAAAGAGGTGAGTGGTTGGTTGGTGGGGGAGGGGAAGGATGGGGACAAAAGGGGTGATGGGGAGAGGTGGGTGTGACTATAAAAGGCCAGGAGGAGGGATGAACTATACTCTTTCTGGACTACACTGTTGGAGAAGTCTACCCATGTGTGATCAAGTTGCACACAAGTAAATAAACATACAAATCAGTACAAGTTTAAAAAAAAATGCCCCAAAGTTGACAAGATACATTAGAAGTGTGTTTCAGTGTCCTTAGAGGAAGGAGGTGGGAGTTTATTGAATATAGTTAGATGGGACACCATCTTGAGCGTGGTAGGACGTCCCCAGAGGTTTGTGCATTCTAGTCTGGGAATCTGTGTATATTGGTAATTTTATTTGGTAAAAGGCACTCTGCAGATGTGATTAAGGATTCTGGGACAGAGGGATGAGCCTGGGTTATCTGGGTGGGCCCCCTGTAATCACGATGGTCCTATGAGAGGGAGGCTGTAAGGCTGGGGTCACAAAAGACGGAGATGGTAAGACCTGACACCACGGACTGTGGCCACGCAGAGGCTAGAAAGGGCAAGGCAGTGGGACTCCCCCAGAGCTTCTGGTGGGAGTGCAGCCCTGCCAACAACTTGTCTTTGACCCAGTAAAATGGATTTTGGACTTCTGACCCCCCAGAGCCATATGATAATAAATTTGTATTGTTTTAATCCACTAAGTGCATAGTGATTTGTTGTAGTGGCAACAGGAACCTGATACAATGAAGAACATTAGGAGGGAAAAAAAGACAACAAATGTCAATTATTTGGAACATTTCATCTACGTGGAATGCCGTCTCCCTGGTGATGTCAGATGGTTGAAGTGTTACTGAGCACAGGAGGCTATTAGTTTGATCGCAGAGGCTGGGTCTTAATGGAGATGAAGTTCAAACCACCTTTATTCCTAAAAACACTGCCTTCCCTGTCACCACATTTTTATAGCATCTGGTGGGTGTTAAATGGAGCACGCACAGCTCATAATCACAGCCTGTTTAATACATGTTAGCCTGTAGAAGGTGTCAGAATAAATACTGCATCAGGAAGTCGTATTGGTACTGTATGATCACCTTATTCTTCCTGTTTGAGAAATAGGACTATTTAAGCTCCCATTATGCCTGGAGACAGTGATGTGTGAGTTCTTTGGAGGGCAAGCCCCATGACGTTATGTATCAAGATAACATGTCACCTTTGGCTATGTCACTGAGAATTTAAGTTTCTAAGTAAATGTTTGAAGTCTGTGTTTCCACACTGGGCATACGACAAACAAAACAAGGAGCTCTTCATGCTGGAAAAAAGAAATTCAGCTTCCCTTTTGGAACTCTGGCTACCACGGAGGGTCTACTAGGTACAAAAACACTTTATTTGGCATTTCAGTCCTCATAGGAATTCTACAAGGAGGCTATGCTTATCTCTAACTTGCCACTGCAGAAACGGGGGCAGAGGCCAAGTAACTTACTGATTTCCCACAGCCTGTGAAGAATCGAACAACAGGTGAAAAAAATACCACACAAGCTGCCAACAGCTGACACGAGAGCTCTCCCGAAGAGGGAAGGTTGGGCTAACTTTGCATCTGTTACCTTCTACCATGATGGAGCTCAGCTGGGAAGAAACTGTTTCTTCCACTGGGCTGTGTGTGGATGGGAAGTTGGCTACACAGTGATCCAGAGTTATGACCCACCTGGTCATTGGCATGTAGGAAGGTTCACAATAGGACGAAAATTACTCAGAATGTGTCACAAGGGCTCCTGGGGGCCTCAGTCAGTTAGGTATCCACCTCCTGATTTTGGCTCAGGTCATGACCTCAGGGTGGTGGGATCGAGCCCCGCGTTGGGCTCTATGTGGAGTCTGCTTAAGAGTCTCTCTCTCTCCTCTCTCTGCCTCTCCCCACTGCTTGCTTACTCTCTCTCTCAAATAAATAAACAAAGCTTAAAAAAAAAAGAATGTGTCATAACAAAGATTAAGCAGTATGGCCACTGCTGTAATCACACATCTTGGGACCACACTGTTTATAACCACACTGAAATGTTCTGTCTAGATTAAACACCATGACCCACTCAATGGGTGAGGTAGGGCACTAATCACTCTAATTTTACTAAAAAGTCATCATTGGAATCACCTTTTGATCCAGTTTTCCCATGCAGAGCATTTTTACAACCAAGATCTCTACTTTCTCTGCCCAACAGTGGAGCTTAAATTGTTTTGACCATGACCGTGTAAGAAACACATTCCACCATACAACCAGCTTACACATAACAAAACAAAGTTCCGTGAAATAAGACATATCCTTACTATGCAGTGTGCTTTCACACTTGTTTTCTATTTTGCTTTATTTAGCCTAGTTTAGCCCATTTTGTGGTCACTGACTTATTCACTAATGATTCCATACCCCAATGAGGAGGTTGTATGTGTGATTTGAAAGGTCTGGTCTAGAAAACAAGGAGAATCGGGGGGCCCTACCTCCGGGGCAATGTAATCTGGAGTCCCGCAGAAGGTCCTGGTTGTGACTCCATCCATCATGTGTTCCTTGCACATCCCAAAATCAGCAATCTTGATATGCCCTTCCGAATCCAGCATGACATTGTCTAACTTCAGATCCCTGCAAGGAAGCAGGAGAGCATCAGAGTCCATCCCATGACATCACACAGTTTGCTCCGGAGCTAGTGAGACAGAAGGCTATGTGACTAGCTGCCATTGCAATGGTGTATTAACTATGAGTCCTGGGAGAGCAGGGACCAGGGATTACTGGGTTTTGTTTTTTTACATCTCCAGAGCCTACTGTAATGCTTAGGATACAGTAGGCACTTAATAAATGCACACCGAATAAATGATTAAATGGTTGGACTAGCGATCACCGACCTTGGCTGAGCGTGTGAATCACCAGATTCCAATTTAGCAGGTCTGGGGCAGATCCCACTCATTTGATTTGCTACTGTCCCATACAGAGGGCCTGGCCTACAACCAGGTTTGCCCAATCACAGGTTCAGAACTACCTCATGGGCTCACGCACGTGTGACTATTGCATTCTGCCCTAGTGCCATATGTCCTTGTACTCTTCGACGAATACTAGAAGACATTCTCCTTTTTTTGGCATCAGACTTGTGCTGTTGCTCACCACCTGAAGAAGTTAATTCAACAGTTTTTCCTCTGCTTCTCCCCTACACCCCATATTCTTCTCCTGCTGAGCATCTAGAACAGAAATTTGGTTTCCATTGCTCCCTGATCTCCATTCCAAAAAAAAAAAAAAAAAAAGGCAGAGGAAGGAGCTGTCAGTGGAGAGAAAAGCCATGTTTTCTTGTGGGAAGCAGAAATAAGATGCAACATCTTTTGAGGTCTGGAGATCAGAAAATGGTTCTGATTTGCCTGGAGGCTGTAGGCAAAGAAAGGTGGGTCCCAGCAGGTCTGTGACCTCGAGGGTTATCACGTCTGTGTCTTAGGTCCCCATCACAGAATTATATGTGCACACGGAGGACCAGAGGTCCAGGAAGACTCTCAGCTGCACTGCTGGCAGCAGAGCTTCCATACGCACCTGTAAATGATTCCTCTTTTATGAAGAAAGAACAATCCAATGGAAATCTCTGCCGCATAAAATCTGCAAAAGAAAATGCTCATCAGGTCTCTGGCTTGCTCTGTGGATTTCTGAACATTTTGTACCTTCCAGTTTGGGCATCAGTGAGGCAAAAAAATGTAAGATCCCGCGACTATCAGAGATCAACATCACCCTACATGTGACAAACCCTTCATCCTTCCCTCTGCCATTTTATCACTCTCACCTCCCCAAGGAATTTTACAGCTAATATGTCAAAGAGACAGGCTTATTACCTGTCCAGAAACAAGCACTTCTTGTTTGAGGCCAGTGGACAGTTAATTTACTGCTTACAAGAAGTTCCTAATGCAATCTTTTAAAAAGTGGCTGCTAGACTCTTCTGTGTCAGGACTGGGGAAGGGTGGAGAAAATGTGCATTTCCCTATTCATGGACAGAATGCGTTAGTGTGTAAAAATGCAGTGATTCCCTAGAAGACAAAGTAGAGTGTGTGATGCACTCTGTAGCTGCTGTACTCACCCCCCCACCCGTCCCCGCCCCAAGTGCTGGGATAAATGGGACACACACCATGATTCATACTTGAGTTTACCCTTTTAAATAATTCATAATAAACTCAGAGTAAATGCTGAAAGAGGTTTTAAAATTTGCATAGCATTTAGGAATCTCTGAAGTCTGAGGAGCCACAAGGCTGTGTCTGTGCAAACATCACACCCGGGAGGTTTAAAATCAGCACAATGTCTACACAGGCAGAGGGCAACCTTTGGTGATAAGGACCAAACTCTTACTGGGCGGGGGGCACCCCTGAAGGCTGGCAAGAGAGGGAAGGGGTGGTGGAGGGAAGAGAGCATTACAGGCAACTTTTACGTTATTTTTCGTGCTTTTCTGTATTTTTAAAATAAACATTTTCTAGCAACACAAATACAACCAAAGGGCGCTGGATGAGACACCTTGATGTTACCTCACAACAAGGTGGCTATTCGGCTACTTGCTCATTGCAGCTCCATCAAGCTGGGCTTTACAACCCAAGCATTCTAATGCTTTATAACTAACAGAGTAAGACAGGGGAAAAGACAGGCATTTCTGAAGACTGAAAAATAAAAATAGAAATGGAGGGGTGCTCAGTGGTTGAGCATCTGCCTTTAGCTCAGGGTGTGATCCTGGGGTCCTGGGATCGAGTCAGGCTCCCGGCAGGGAGTCTGCTTCTCCCTCTGCCTGTGTCTCTGCCTCTCTCTGTGTTCCTCATGGATAAATAAATTTTTAAAAACTTAGGAAAAAAAAAAAGAAAAAAATCCCCTTCAACAAAAATCTGATTGGCATTTGTGTATTTGATTAATAAAGAAATCTGAGAATGAAAAAAAAAATCCCTCTTTGCATATTTTAAGCTTGCTACCAAAGCATTCCCTCTTCCGCCTTCACTCAATCTTCACTCAATCTAAGACACACCAACCCACGCAGGCCAACAGTTTTTCAGATTTATCTTTTAGACCGAAACACTGGCCAGAATCCAATGAACATTTGCTAACTTGATTAATCAGGGTATATGCCCACTCTGCATCCTCCCTGGGGGAAATGAAATAGCTGTTTGTATACATTTGCTCCTGCTGCCTGTCCTGTGACCTTCTAGCCCCTGGAAAACAGGATGATTTTTCTGATACCAAAGTCCCCCCCTTAGATGGACCATTTTCTCTGTTCCCCCGGAGCCCATGTCTCTGCCCTGTGCTGCTGATTCTTACATCCTAATCAAACCCTCCCAACTGAGCTCATGATTCCCCACCCAAACCATCTCTCCTGGGTGGCTGCCCCCAACCCTAAAATGAGGTATCATCTGAAAAGGTTTCTTGTTCTACACCAAGTTCTGCTTTTCTTCTTCCAGGATGTTTCCCAAAGACCCTTCCTCCTCTTTGGCTCCAAGGTCAAGGTCTAATTAAAGTTCCATTCTTTCTCCTCTACATAGATTTTTCACCAACCCCCGTGCACCAGTCCCCACTCTCCCTTCCTCCTTCCCCTCTTGGTCAGAGCTCTCTGAAAACTTAGCCTGATGGTGTCAAGCCCCCCACAGCCTTCCATGGTCTTCAGCCAGGTCCTCCATCAGGCTCATCACCTGGAGCTCTCCTCACCCCCAATCTCAAACCACCTTCCGCCCTGCTGGCTTGGGCACTGCCTGAGGATGTGCAACCCTCACTCCCCTCTTTATCAGGGCTTGCGTGGTGCCACCTCTAAAATTACGGCTACATGTTACAATTGTTGAGTGACCTCTTCTACTCCAGGGCAGATGGTGAGCTCCCACAGGGCAGAGAGCCTTTCACACTCCTAATGCCTGGTGTGTTACGGGTGTGCAACAACGATTTGTTGTATCATGAGTGGCTGACTCAATCAGTGATGGTGGAACTGGGTGAGAGGGGGATACACCAGCATCTCCAACTTACTGGAAGTAGAACAAACCTCTCCTTGGGATGGGTGTAGATGGACCCAACCAATAAGTCTGCCCCCTGGGAGGTTACAGGGCTCAGGTCCGAGGACGGTGAAGCCCTACGTCCATACTTCACCCAGAAGTTTCTATGTGCTGTCTAAATTAAAGGCCTTAAAAAAATAGTACTCACACTGCTTGTGGTTCCTTAAATTTTCCTACTTGCTGAATGTGGTACATGAGGTCCCCACCATTGACGTATTCCATGACGAAGTACAGTCGATCCTGAAGATGAAGTTTCAACATGTGAGCAGGGCTTGGGTCACCGGCAGAGAGGCTTCCATTACTTTCTAGGCTGTGCTTTGCTTTCTCATTAGTTAGTAAACCATGGGCTTCACTGGCAGATCTGCTCAGTGGAGCCCTTCAAATTTTTTCTTCCCAAATAAAAATAAGTAATAGACCCTACCACATGAGGGCCTCGGGAAGTATAAAGCCATTAATGTAACTCTGAAATAATGGCGCTCTGTCAATATGCCTGTCCCCATCTGGTTCCGCATGCTTCCTATTACAGTAACGGCCTCAAACCCTCTTCCCTCTCTCCTGCACACAGAAGACATGTCTAAGTTAGGGATGGTGTGAAGAATCCAAGTGGGCCAATTATTTACTTTTAACTGGTGTTTCTGGTTTGCAGGGTCTGGGAGGCAAACCACAGCGCTGTAGTCGTGTGTTTCACTGGAAGCTTCTGAAAACCAATCTCGTGAGTTAGGCTGGGCTCATAAATTATAAATGCCCAACAATATTTACTGTGGGGGAAGGGACTATACATGACGAGGCTAATCAGATGTGCTGTTGCATCCATAATAGGCCCAAATATTGTTCTTCATCTTCTCTGTCACTGGTGTGTTGTCTGCCCCACCGAGGGCGTACATCATCGACCCCAGTAAGTGTGCATGTTTATGAGGACATCACAGTGGGGCAGATGGGGGAAAATGGGGTTGAACAGCAAAATAGCTAACAGCACAGCACACCCAGGGGAAAGCCGACCTCTGCTCGCTTCTAGACATTTTGCTGAAGTTATTAAACATTAAAGTGTTGCACGGGGAGGGAAAAAAATGATGAAGCTGGTGCTAGCAGCCAGGAAATAGCTCCGGGAGCTTCCATCTCTAGCTTTCCTGTTATGAATTTTAATTCCATCTTTATTTCCATGTTTTGTTGCTTTCTGGAGCTTCGTCAGTGTAACCAGGGTGATAGGATCTGGGCTAGGACTCGCAGACATGGGTCCCTCTCTGGCATATTGCTCTTCCCTCTTCGGCCCTACTTTGGTGCTGCCGGGAGGAGGGGGCTGTCCGTGCCACCAGCGCCAGGCTGACACACAGTGGCTGGCACCTGACTCTGCAGCCCCTCGCCTGCCCTGACACTGTGTGGTTACACTGTCATTTTGAGATTCTAAAATCCAAGAGCACTGAGGGGTCCCTCCCAAGACATTTTAAAGAGAGACGTAAAACAGAGAGTCACTTTCCGGCCAACAGAAAGTTGAAGATATTATAATCATAACAATACTAATTATAGCTACTGATTATTGAGTCATCTCTTTAAAAAGGGCAGGTGTTGAGGAAATGGAAAGCCTGTCTTTGGGCAAGACTGATGATGGTGCCCTCGAAATTTTCGTGTTTCTTGCAGGCTGCCTGCAAGCTCCATGCCACTGCCCTGGCCCCACTACAGGCTCATCAGTGCTTTGGAACTCTTTTGTCCTTTTTTTAAATTTATACTGTAAGTCAGGGCTCGGCAAACTTTCTGTAAAGGGCTACACAGGAAAGACCGTGGGCTTTGTGCATCTCTTGCAACTATTCAACTCTGCCTTCACAGCCTAAGAGCCACTGTGGACGACGGAGAATGAAGGAGCGTGGCTGTGTTCCAAGAAAATGATTCATGGACACTGAAATGTGAATTTTGCCTAAGTTACACGTCACAAAATAGCATTCTTTTTTTTTTCCCCTCCAACCTTTCTCAGAGCTCATGGGCTGTACAAAACAGACCAGACTGCCAAGCCTGCTGTGTGCCATCAACAAGAACACATTCTTTTATGAGATCAAGTTTCCTCATGTTCCAATGCAATGCTTGGCAACTGCATCAGTAGTCATAAAAGCCAGGACTGTGGGTTATTTTATTGGTTTTGTATTCTTAAGTCTTAGCACACTGCTTGGTATAAAGAAAACCTTTGATCCAAATGTTTGCTGAATCAAAGAGAATTAGTGCCAAGCTTGTAAGTAGGGCACATCCTAGAGAGGGGACTCCCCAAATTAACCAGTGGCGTAAGAGTGAGAGGCTGTTCTCAGGTTATGTCTTTCTCGAGCCTTCTCCACTGGAGGAAGGTTAATTCAGATGCTTAGAACACTGGGTCAAGAGTGGCCCTGGAGAGGCCCCCACACACCTTGCCACAGATAACACCCCCACCCAGGGTCCTTACCACTGTCTGGAAGCAGGAGTGTAGCTGTGTCAGGAATGGGGGCTTGTCAAGCAGGGCCAGGACTCGCTTCTCCACCATGGTGCACTCCACGTCGTCATCTTGAATCACCACGTCCTTCTTCAGGATTTTGATAGCATACAGTTCCTCTGTGCCCTTCCTGTCAGCAAGCATTACCTGGGAGCAGACGAAAGGCAACCTGAAAGCTTCGAAGTGTATGTCTGGTAATGGGAGTGGGGAGGAACCTGGTCAAGTGGCTGTTCACCTTGTGCCAATTTATAAATGCGTGATATAAACATTTGCAAAGTTCCACTTTATGTGCAAATTTTGAAAGATCGCATGTCAGTGCAGATTAAATTCTTCCAGTATTGGTTAATTGAGGAACTGTCAAGATTTGTACACAGCGTAGGCTATGGTTGCATGATGGAGCTTTTGTGGCTGCGGAAAAGAATATACCTGGTCCTCGGCATTCGCCTTGAAGTGTGCACATTTTTCAGGAGCATCCTTTAGGCAAAAATGTGACTGACCTTTTTATAAGCTTCTCACGAGTCAGGAGCCAAGACAAACAAAAAGGCAGGATGGACATCACTTCCTGGATCTATCATGAGATTTGGGGCCAGAGAAGCCAAATGTAGACATATAGGTTGATCATTGAAGAAACCCAGTTCAGTGCCTCTCAATCATTACGTTTGCTTACTACAAATCACCTTGTAATTTTTAGTTGTGAAGATCATTTATTCAACCAACATGTTGGAGCACCTGCTCTGTTCTCAACCCCGAAATGGTGATGCAGAGTGAACCCTCTGTAGCTTTCTGGGTATGGTTGTTTTTAATGAAATGAAGCGGTGGGTGGGTCGGGGTAGGCAGGGGAACATCTCAGAAATGAGTACAGAGCAGGCAAATCTCAAGGGTGGTTCTGGAAACCCTAGGGAGCATGGAACTGATCCTATGCTGGAATGCTGATCTTCCAGCATTCTCTGGAAGAGCCCCTCCAGCTCCCTGACAACTGTCCTCTTACCTTTCCAAAACTTCCCTTCCCCAGCACCATGAGGAAATTGAAGTCTGTGAGTTTCACTCTGTCCAGGTTGTTGGAAGGTTGTCTCCTGTCTTCTGAAGGACTGATTACTTTGTTACCAGCGGGGCCAAGCTTGGCTTTCTAAACAACAAGCACACATGTGAGAACAATGTGTCATTTTTCCCAGGAAAAAGAGTGATAGAAAGCATTTAATTAAGCTTGAGGTCAGCTGGGAGGGGGGAGGTGGGATGGGGGCAAGAAAAGAAATCACAGGATGATGAGATATTTATTCCACAGTTGGTGGCCATGCTTACCCTAAGGGCAACATTTGCAAAGTAGAAGAAAAAAAAAAAAAACAAACCACAAAACTGCCCTTACCTATCAAGAGACAACTCTTTACATAATTAAGCAAGAATCAAGTCATGGGATTCTGAATCTCATTCTAGGACTTCAAAGTTTACTTCTTGGTGAATGGGGTGCTTCACAATGGTTAACATAATAGAAGCAATACCCTGTGTACTGATGCTTTTCTTACTTGTAGATTTTCCTATTCTTAAATATGCAAATAGTTCATTTGCATGAAGGGAACTTGTACCCTAGCAAAAAGGGAAAATATGGTCTCCTGGAGAGGAACCTCTAAACGGGCAAGCTGTGGGGATGATTTATTGCTGCTTTAAAAGGCATAGTAAGAAGAACATAAGGTTATAGGATTTTTATTTTTTTGGTTTTGTTTTTTAAGTCAAGAGTTGAACTCGGGAAACCTGGTTTCACACAAAACACACAGCACCCTTTGAACCTGACGAATCCTTGGTCAGTGACCAAAAGACATTTTTATAAACTAGGCTCATGCTACACAAAAATGCTGGAAAGACCACACCCTCATTACTCTGGTTGAAGAGCTGGAGTCTGTCTCAGGTAAAAGGTGGAGGAGAGAAAGAAGGCTCCGCATAAAAAGGAAAGGCTAATGGGATCATGTGGGAAGGTCTCAAGAGTCAGCAAAGGAGCCCATGGAGAATCTCCCCACAGACTCTGCATGTAGAACACTTGCCTGACGGTGAGGGGACCAATTGCTGGCCATGTCAGCTGCTGAAAGGCCAGGGTCCTGCAGTGTGGCTGAACTGCCACAGCCCTGATCCCAAGGACAAAGACTATATTGCTTTGGATACATTCTTAATGATAAGATACACCCTCCACCCCTTCCCCCCACTCCCCCACCTCCCTGGCCTTCTTCCCCAATGCAGCAGACCTAAGAGCAGCTCTGAGTTCTGGAGCAGGTGCCAGGACATCACTCGAGTCAATGTAGCTACCAAAAAGAAAGTATAGGACATAAAGAAGGCGTTCTGGGCTTTACTACGTGACCAGAGCACTGTCAGCATCAGTTCTTAGCTCTTAAGGGCAGATGGGAGGATCTGACATGTTTTCTTTAGCAGCAGAGAAGGCTTTGAGGAATAAACCATATTCCCTCTTAGAGCACCAGCAATCCCTTCATCCCACAGTTACTGAGCGAGCACCCTGTGCCAGGCTCTGTTGAAGAGGTTTTGCATTAGCACAGGCAGCCATCTCTGGATGCCCAGGCCTCACACAGTGCTTGGCACAGGGTATGCACGCTACATCCTGGTTGAGTAAGGATATGACTCTTGAATGTGTTCATCAGATGCTGTGCTGTTGGGTGATGCTCTTCTGTGATAAAATAACACGTTTGCATTGGGTTTGAACCTCATGGCTTGAGTGTGTGTTTGGAATAACTGAGCACACAGATTTAGGTAGAGGCATTAACACATGGGGGAAAGATGGCCCTAGCTTTTCTGCTTCAGAGCTGAAAGTATTTGACATTGCTATATGATTCTTCTATGGCACTGCCTGGTGGGACGCACAGGTGAACCCAGGGGTCGTTGGATACACCGATGCTCTTCAAAGATGATAACCTGAACTGCAGTGATACGTGTATTGGCCTCCCCTTTGACAGAGGATGGGAGAAATTTTTAGACAGGCTTTTGAGAAAGAGCCAAGATATAACTGCTAAGTCACATCAGGACCCTCCCCCCCTCAACTGCAGGACCAGCCCCGTCTTCTGGAAGCTAGGGAGAAGGATCTGGCCCCAGGGGTCCCAAACAGACCAGGTTCGACCACTCGCCGCTGACACAATGCAAAGGCAGACAAATGAGGGGTGGTGAAATGAGAAAGTGATTTATTTGGGGGAGGCCAGCACCAGGAAGACAGCAGACTAGTGTCTCAAAGACTGTCTCCAAAGTGCTGAAAGCACTCCCAGGATCATGTCAGGAAGACGCAGGGCAGAGGTTGGCGGGTACATGCATGCAGCTGAGCAGTGCAGGTCAAGTTGATTGCTGTCTTGGGGTCAATCACGCGGGGTCTTGCTGGCTCAGGGCATTCCTTATTGCTGGAGAGGGTAGTTTCGGTCCCCATCACGGGATGTTTTGCCCACAGGGTCTCATGCCTGAGTTAAGAGAGAAGCTGGAAAGGAGAACTCAATCAATTAGAAGGTACGGACTGGGGTCAAAATGGAGGTGACAGACAGCAGAAGTCCTTTTTTACTTCAAACATCTGCCCTGGGAATGATTCCAAGTTGATTAACTTTCTGGTGGGTGTCGTCGAAATTGCAACGAACAATCAGGAAGTTCAAGTTTGAGATGAGAATACTGACTATGCCCCTCTATTCTGTTCTTTTGATTTTTAAAAAGTTATCAGAAAGAGGCATGAGGAGATTAATTTTATCCTATCAGGAACGTCACAGTAAATTCTGGAAAGACCCCCAGACAATGGACTCCGTGCTCTGAGGTCCTTGGAAGAGTTGACGTGTGTCTTCACCTGGGTGAGGCTGTGATCTTGCTGGGGCTGCTCATGAACACCTAGCTTCCATCTGAAGCACGGGGCTCCTAACCAGAGGTTCTGGACTCACGTGAATTCCTAGAGTCCCTGCTCCTTCCTCCTTTGACACTTCAGCACCACAGACGGTGGTAAGAGGGTCCGTGGGCTGCTGTAGGTGACGATCTCCAGAAGAAACATTGGGCATTTTGCACACTGCCCTCACTGGGGGGCCATAATTGAGCAAAGACTGAGTTTTGGGGCTATGTTCAGTTCAGTTGTAGGGAAAAAATGTTCCCCAAAGGCATGTAAATGCAACAAAAGCATTTTTTTGCATTTGAGTGCTTCTGAACCCAACTGCAGTAGGGTCTTAGATTCCACTCGGAAATCAAGCCGTGAGGTTTGGCAGGAATGTCGACAAAGGAGTCTCCTACTCCTAGGAGGTGAAGCCGGATGGAGGAAGGACACCGGCTTCTTGCCCTGCCCGGGCGGATTCCATTCTTGTGTCTCTCTAGCCAGAAGCAGAGTTGGGTTTTGCGTGGCTGGGAGCGCAGGGGGTGGTCTGGAAGGAGGATGGGCCAGGCTGCTGCACTGACCGCACTCACCGTCGGGGGGCTGGCTAGAAAGTGGCCCGGCCCAGTGGGCGAGATGGCTTTCTCCCCAGCTCTCCTGGGCAGCCCTAAGAGCAGCCTGGGGGCTTCGCGCAGCTGGCTTCCACATTTCCCCTGCAGAGTATGCTTCTGGAGTCATTTCCACGCTGCCACCTGCAGGCTGGCTGCTGGATGGCATGGAGCCATCCTAATACAGAGTTTTCAAAAGCTGACAATTCCACGATATCAAAACCTCAGTGGTCTGGGCCTGACTCTGGCAGGTGTCTCGCTCAACCTGGGTCTAATAAACAGCACAGCTGGAGGAGACCGCCGATGGCTACCCTGGCAGCTGTGCAGCGGGGGGTTGGGGGGGTGCCAAAGGGCAAGGAAGGCAGAGGCCCCCCAGGAGGATGGTCTACACGGCCTCCACCTCTACTTCCAGGCAGGCTCTGACTCCGGATTCCCATCCTCCACCGCTGCTCCCCCCACCCCCGCCTGCCCCTTGCTGTGGGAGTACGGTCACATTCACCTGAGACTGTCCTGCCGTGTCCCCTACCACTTCCCAGGCTGACTTCTCCCCTCCTGCAGGCTTTAGCTTGCTTGTCATCTCTTCAGAGGACCCCTCCCCAAAGACTTTCTGCCAGTCTCCCTCCAGGGCCCTGTTCTCAACAGCTCCTAGGGCAACCTGTGAATACTTATGGAGTATTTAACGCTTCTTCCACGGTGTACAGCTGATCTGTCAGCAGGTCATGCCAAGTTTACCTGCAGGATGTGTCCAGAATCTGGCCTCTTCTCAGGGCCTCCTTCACTACCTCTCTCTCGAGGCGGTAGTGTCCCTACTTCCTCTAGCGTCCCTACTTCTGTGACCTTCCTTTCAGTATCTTCCCTGGAGGGACCCCATTGTACTTCCCCGGCTTCCTGTCTGCTGGACAGAGAAAGGCCGACTTGTCACAATGGAGGTGGAGACCCTTGGCTATCAGCTGGGTCTCTGATCTCAGTCCCACTACTCCCCGGGCCCCCTCTGTTCCAGCCTCCAGTCTTTGGTCACCCTTCCTACAGGGGCCTCGCTATCTCGTTCATCTACAAAATCCAGCTTAAGCACCACCTCTCCATCTTCTTGCTGCCTCCTCCCTCCTGGGATTTCCAACCTGTGGCAGATGTCGTCTGTGACCAGCCCACATCCCAAGCTTTTGGCTTGGCACCCCTGTGCACATCTGAGGCTGTCTGAGGGTTCTGTGGGGGCCGTGCCTACAGGGCAAGCCTGGAGCGCCCATGTCGCTGCCCCATGAAGGGGCAGCACGTTCCATGCTGTTTCCTTAGCTTCCCAGCAGGACTGAGCTCCAGTGTGTCCACGGTGGCACCACCAGATAACTGACTTGCCCTTACCTTACCCTAGCTGGCTTCCACCCTTCCCTGGGACACAGTCCTACTTCCCCACCCCTCCATCTCTTGGGATCACTTGCCACATGAAGTCCTTGCTCCCAAAACCCTGTGGCAGATCTGACTTCTCTGGGGAACCTAAATGAACACGTGACCTTTTTCTGAGGATTTACTGATCTTTCTCATTAGGCTGTGAGGTCCTGGAAGGCAGAGACTATCTTATTCATCTTTGTGTCTTTAGGCCAAGCACTGCACTGAGCACATAATTTTACATTCACTGAATAGCTCATTGATTGGTTGATTGGTTGATTGATTGATTGATTCATTCATTCAAAATCATACATCTTC